CTACGCCTGGACTCCGTCTACGTAGTCCTCAACACGCATAGTGCCCATTCTCTACGCCTGGACTCCGTCTACGTAGTCCTCAACACGCATAGTGCGGTTGTCTGCGAGGACACTAACTATGGGGTCTTCCAACTTTTGGACTTTCAACCCTAGCCTCAACTTCTTCAGAGCTCTGTGGCTTATGTAGCTACGGGTGGCCCTTGAATCTATAAGGGCCCCTACTCTACTTCTAAAAACCTCTATGTCAACTAACACCAGATGCCCTTTACTATCTTTCTTCATTTTGGCCCAGGCAGGCATCCTCTCCTTCAACTCTTCTGCCACGCCTGTGAGGGAAGTGCCTAGAGAGACGCTAACACAAGAAGTCTCTGGACAACTAACTAGGCATGGGCCTGCAACCTCTGTCGAAGGCTCATGTGGTGTGGGAGTTTCCTGTTCGCGCGCGCTCGCTTCCCCACATGGCCTAGTAGTAGGGGCAGTTGCAACCCCTACCGGCGGCTGCCTTTTGACTCCTGGGCAGCCCATCGGGCCTGTCTATACTTAGGACAATATTTAATAATATGGGCAGGGTCACCACAGTAAATGCACTGCCCCTGAACCAAGGTGCCAAACTCCTTGCCTTTGAGGTGACCTACCACCTCGTCGTTGCGGGGACCGACTAGGACCTTGACGATTTGGCGGGGGACCTTGACCCCTACCTCCCTCTTGGGCGGCTCCTTTGACCGCCAACCCCCTGTGCGCCCGGTCCTCGACCTCGCATGGCCTGGCCCCTTTGACCCTGGCCTCCTCCTCTACTTTGCGGCCTCCCTCCAGCCGCGACAGCAGCATAGGTCCTCCCCTGGCCTACACTACTGTCCTCCTCCTCGAGCCCCCACTCGATCTGACTGTAGGGGATCTCATCGATACCACCTTCATCTAAAGTACGGATCAAATGATCCTTGGCCCTAACTTGGCCAGAGATGGCACGACCTTTCCACTTTTTGCCCTTATCTAAGTCTTTATACCAGAAAGTGGAAACTGGCATAGACTTGGCCTCGAACACGACCACTTCTCTAGTTAACGCATCATGCGTGATGTTGGCCTGTTGGGTCTTGTCAAAGAAATGCCCTCGCAAGGGCTCTGGCATGGCACGATAAAATAATTAGACCAACAGGGTCTCAGTGACCCCGTGGTTTGGGACGACTACTAGGTCGTCCATGACAGCTTTGAGTGCTCGTGCACTCCTCCACTGTCGAGAGTGGATGGTTTGGAGCTTATCAGAGGCCCTGACGCCCCTTGTGACGTCAACGAACCTCTCACGCAGGAGTCGGAGGAAAGTGCAAAGAGGGGTAAGCCTAAAATACGCAATCAACAGTGCGCGCAAGGGACCTGGCGAAGCTGGCCGCATCGTCCTGCAGTGCGTGGAAGGCTACGAGGACTTGTTCCTCTGTGGCAACATGCTATAAATAGACATATGTATTAATGCTAGCCTCCCAGTTATCAAAGCTATCGTCCTTTTTCCCGCCATAGGCATCAGGAAATTTGAGCTTCACAGGCTCTTTGCGGGAACGCGCCGCGGCCTCTGCTATGGCCAGCACTTTCGTGCTTTCAATGGCGCCTGCACAAAACTTGTCTACGCCTTCCTTCAATCTCTTAACCTCGGTCCCGGGGTGGATCACCACGTCGCGCGCAAACTCTCTAAAGCCGGACCAGATGGCATGAAGGGTCACATCTTGACCCTTATTGGCCTGATGCTCCTCAAGCCAAGCCTCGCTCAGAACCTCCAGGTACCCCAAAATCTTATCTAACTTTGCGAGGGTTTCTGCCTGTGCCTGAACATGCGCAGACTTTCTCTACCTCTCTAGCCACTCGGTTGGCTTCCTCCCTCCTTCTCTTCTTTTCCCTCATCATACGCAACTTCCACTCCAACTTCTTTTCAACTTCTGCTGTTTGACGTTCCAAGGGGTCCTCCATCACTTCCAATTCCCTGGCGAATGCTTCTCTTTCCTCCTGGGGCACGTACAATAGTGCCTCCTCATCTTCTCCCAACGATAATTTAGCTACCCACTCGCTAAACTTTTTCTCCATCCATGCGTCCTCTCCCTTCGTGCCACTTGTCTCTCCTCTATCTCCCCCACGCCTCCTTTCAAGGGGTTCTTCTTCTTTCTCCTCCTCCTCTGCTGCTGCTTCTTCTTCAACAGCCTTCCTCTTCTCTTCCTCCGCCTGTTCTAATCTTCTCATCTCTTCCTCCAACTTCTTCTTCTTCGCCGCCTGCTCCTCTACGATTGCTTTTAACTTCGTCTGCTTGAGGAGCTCTTTCTTCTCCTTCATCTCCTTCCTCTCCCTCAAAATGGCGGCAGCACGCTCCTCTTGAGCTTGCGTGTACGGGGCAGTACTCTTCCCACTACGGGTGTCAACCATGATGTCTGGTGCACAACCGAACAACGGTTCCACTCCTCACCACTTAGATTCTACCCCCTGACTGACAAGACCTACTGAATCAATCTAAGGACTACAGAATCCGGACAGGATCCTGTCAACTAGGGTCACTAGCCTAGACCTACTTTAAGGCTGTCACTACAAGACCTGTTGCTGATCAGGAGGCATTTAAGGAGATCCCCGGTAACTCCTCAGGAATTATTTAGCGTCGCAGACAGGACGACGCGATCAACAGGTCCTCTCAAGACTTAGACGGCCTGTTGTGCAGCCCACAACTCGGATTTTGGGCCTACCGTGCCAGACCGAGCAGCCCGCCGGTCAGTACCGATCCTTGGGAGGGTTCGTGTCCTCCGGGACAGTCGAGTCGTCAGACACAATCTTTAGCCCTATTCAGCCCGTGTGGGTTTGGTCAACAAGGCCCTATCCTTCATCCACAGAGTTCCTATCACCTAGACAGAAGACACTCAATGCAGAAAGAAGAGACAGACAGACTTGACTCAGCAAGTACCACAGGGTGTGTGCACATCCACAGGGCGAGGGGATAGGCTGGGCTCCAACTTGGTCAAAATCGTGGTCAACAGTCTTGGTCAATGCCTCGGTCAACGCTTGGTCAACACTGAAGTCAACCCCCGATCAACTCCGGTCAACTCTAGTCATCTCTGGTCAATGGCCGGTCAACTCTTTCGGTTGGCTATGGCTGCCGACATCTTCTTCCTCACCACCCTTCTTCTTCCTCGCCTCTTTCTTCTTCCACCCCGGTTATCTTCTTCTTTCTCTCTCTTTTTTTTTTTTTTTATACCATCGCTCCCTTCACCTCCTCGGCTATGGCTTCCTTCACCCTTCTCGGACTCCCCCTCTGTCCTCTCTTTCACCCCATTCGTTACTCTCTGTGGTCGTGCTCCGCGGCTATGGCCGCCTCTTCACTTCGTGGGACTGTACGGCTCACTTCATAGGTACGTGACAACCAAACTTGTATCGCTCTCTCTCTCTCTCTCTCTCTCTCTCTCTCTCTCTCTCTCTCTCTCTCTCTCTCTCTCTCTCTCTCT